TCAGAGCCAAAGGTTTTTTGGCGGTTTCTTGGGAGGTCCAAATTAGTTATTAAGTAATGTTTGAACAGGTCGATTGTTCAGGGATGGCAGCTTTGAAGTTTGAAATTCTGCTTTTGGATCTCAACAGTAGATTTTCATTTTGGCAAATCAAGATGTGAGCGGTTCTAGCTCAATTGGATCTTGATGATACTTTGTTGGGGATTTATAGAATACCTGCAGCAATGACAGCGGTGGGGAAACGACGGAAGGATCGGAAAGCCCTATCTCAACTACATCTTCATCTTTCTAATGAAATTCTTCAGGACGTGGTAAAGGAGAAAAGTGCAGCTGCATTATGGTTAAAGTTGGAGTAGCTTTGTAGGACAAAGAGTTTGACAAGTAAGTTACACTTGAAGTAGCTCTTGTACTCTCATCGCTTGATGGAAGGTGGATCTTTGGAAGGTCACTTATCGGTGTTCAAGGAAATCGTCGCTGATTTAGAAATAATGGAGGTTGAGTATGATGAAGAGGACTTGGGGCTGATTTTGTTATGTTCATTGCCGCATTCATATGTGACTTTTAGAGATACCATTTTCTATAGTCGGGATACTCTTACAATTGACGAGGTATATGATGCGCTTTACTCTAAGGAGAAGATGAAGCATTTGGTCGTCGGTTCTGAGGCTCATAGAGAGGGTCTTGTTGTTCGTGAAAAGAAAACGGGTAGTCATGGAAGGAGCAGAGTCAAGGATAGCAACGGCGGTATAGTCTGTTGTTATCACAACAACAAGGGGTACATGAAGAGGGATTACAATGAGTGGCGAAAAAGGTTTGCTACTAAGGATCAGGATAAACAAATAGAAAATTTTGGTAATGTTAATCTTGCAGAAGAGAACAGTGATGGAGATTTGTTGGCGATTACTGAAGGTGACTCCAAACCTGACGAGGATTGGATTCTTGATTCAGCTTGCACTTTTCATATGTGTTCAAATCGGGAATGGTTTTCTTCATATGAAATAGTTACAATGGGTTCCGTGATGACGGGAAGCAATAAGCCTTGTAGAATTGCTGGGATTGGTAACGTCAAAATCAAGATGGTTGATGGAAAGGTTAGAACTCTTGGCCAGGTTCGACATGTTCCAGGTATCAACAAAAATGTGATTTCCTTAAGTACTCTTGATGCAAAGGTGTATAGTTACACCGGTGGAGGTAGAGTTCTGAATGTTAGCAATGGTGCCCGGGTTGTGTTAAGGGTTAGAGAAAGTCTTGGTTATATGTGTTGGAAGGTTCGGCGATCATGGAGGAAGTAGCTGCAGCTTATGGTTGGTAAGCGGTAACTCGGGAAGAGTTGTTCTTGATCAGGTTGTTCGTGATAATTCGAACAAGGCTTCTAGTAGCTCGGGTGGAGCTGGTTGTAATCTTGTTGATCATGTTGCTCATGGTGATTTGAGCAGGTTCGACAATTCAGGTGGAGTTGGCATTGCTTGTGGTAATTCAAGCAAGTTTATTGACTCGGTTGGAACTAGATGTGAACGAGATAATTCAGGGATTGGATGTAGTTATGCTGGTTTGCAGGGCTTGGATATAGTTCACAGTTGTTGAGTGTGCCCGGAAGGGGTATGGCATACCCGGCGGGGGCATAGTGTGTCCCCGTGGGGACATGGTGAAAGAGTCGGAGAATGACTTGAAGAGTGGAGATTAATGCTTTGTTATGGAATTTGTATCAAGGTGGAGTTTGTTAGGATTTGTGACAAAAATTCTATGTGATTTAGGAGTTCGTTGCATGAAGGAAGCTTGATTAATTTTGGTTTA